TTTTTTTTTTTTTTTTTTTTTTTTTGGTTCCCTAGCGAGTGCATCGACGCGCGTTGGCAGGGGCATGGAAGGGTCTGTTGGTGGCTTGGCGAGGGTGGCAGTGACAACAAAAGAAGATTGGGTGTGCATACGCGGTCTGGAATGCTACAGTCGAAGGTGTCACTGTCAACGTGCTGATTGACGCATGAGAAGAAGCGAAGTTGAGGCCCGTCCACCTGCTCCATCTCATTCAGGCATTTGCGTCCCGTCCCGTCCCGCATAAGAGTCGTCCGCTTGTGGTGTCTCCACCACAGAAGTGCTTCAGAGCGAGCATAACCACGCGGGACGCCCTCCAGCTTTTGACCTCCTCGCCGCGGACCTCTATCGCCTGCTCGATGCGGACATCTCTCGCCTCCTCGCCGGGGACTTCTTCAGTGTTGTCGAGGATCACCGCCGTAGCTCTTCTCACCTTCTCGTCACGTGGAGATTCGGCGCTGTCACTCTCTTGCGTTGGCGCCGCGGTGCTCCGTGGACACGTCAATGTTCGATGAGTGAGGACTTTGGGCTAATCCACGGCGGAACACTCTCTCCTTATCACCGTGGATCTGTCTCGCCGCGTGGAGGTTCAACGCCGCCGCTCTTCTCTTCTTCTCATCATGGAGAAGTCTCACCGGGGTCGTTGTCCTCCTCCAGTACACGTGCACTTCGTGCTCATATGTGCGCCAAGGACACTTCTTCTTCGTCGTCGCAAACGCAGTCGTCGCCACGTGCAATCCGTACGTGGGACGCTGTTCTCGCCAGATCGGTGGAACTCCCACCGGCGGTCGACCCTCTATTCCCGCTCACCACCTCCTCCCGCCAAACTCGCTTGGAGAGGGAAGCACAAAGCATGTCTACGTGAGCCGGTGCCCCTGGTAAGAAGTGAGATATCGTCCCTACGGACATTCAAGGGAGGGAAAGGGGTCGGCGGCATGTCCCCAAAGCGAAGACGCTTCATTCGGACGATGCTTCAGGAAGTGTGCCTGCTCGTCGACCGCAACATTGAGCGACAGCGGACGAGGGTAACGACGAGGACGTCTTCACGACGGAGGAAGAAGCGCTAGAGGAGACCGTGTCCGCAGTTTGGGAGAGTGGTTGCCAGCGTTCTTCAGATCACAGCGTTGCGAGGAGATTGTCGACGCCTCCACCGGAGGCGTAGCACGTGCGTGCCCGCGAAACGCGCTCGAAGAAGGAGGCCGTCGTCAACGTCGGCGGTGATGATAACGAGCAGTTGGAATGACGTCGACAGCGCAATGTCACACAAGCCACAACAGTGACGACAGTCAGGGCACGCGGTGCGACTGGCGAAGGGCCACCTCAGGGTGGACTGCCTGCCACGTCGTCTCATCCGCGTCCGCAAAACACGACTGATGAGGGAGGCTCCATTAAACAGGGCGGGGGGGGGAAGTCTTGGCAGACGCGTGCGCAGTTGGGGGTGAGGCGGTCGCTGTTGTGGGTGCGGGAACTTCACGCAATGTGGCACCCGTGTCGAGGGCCAAAAAGGAGCTTCCAGAAGTCGAGCGGGAGGTGGCGCATGGCGAGAACGACGGTGATATGGAGGATGACGACCCCCTCTTAAGCCGGCTACAAAGGGGAGGCATGACAAAATATCTGATCGACCGTGCCCGACTGTGGGTTGATGACAAAGCTTTCTGGACGAAGGGGGAGGGGCGAAGACTGTATAACATCGTCCACGAAACGCGAGAGTATTTTGTCGCCATCGTCAACGGTCTTCAAGCGCCTGCCGTCCCTCGGAGCGTCGTCATGCCAAAATCCTGCACGAAGCTAACAAGGATTGTCGATCCCGCACAACTGCAAGAAGTGATCTCCCATGCGGCGATAATGGAGAATATTGCTCTACGCGTCTTGCACGGCTAGGTTTTCAAGTCCGGGAACCGCCCCAGTGGTTACAATTTGGTTTTCCAGTACGCGCTGGACACCGTGGCAACGGACATTGCGCGTGCTATGTGGTACAGCGAGGAGTGGAGTAACGTCGTCAGTGCGGCCGTTTGCACGCACACAATAGACCTGTCCATAAACTTGCCACTGTGGTTCGCTGGTGCGAACATCGAGGACAGGCTTGAGGACGACGACATGGCGGCGTACCAGGAGTCCACCATCATATGCACCGCGCATGCATTCCGCGCCGCGGTTGAGATGGGTGCGAATATCGACGGCGGCTTCATCTCACACGACCGTCTCTCACGGGTTGCTGACTGCTTCAGGCTTTTGTTGGCGGCCAGCATGTGGTTGGTGCATGGTGGAACACGATCTGCGCAGCCACGACAAAGCTTTTTACGTTGCAAAGTTGGTGGTGAAGCCCACGCTCGTCGCGTTCATGCATCGCTCCTTCGAACATCGACAATCAGTCGTCCGCGGTTGCTGAACCCAGACGAGGCTGGCTACACCTGGTATTCAAACCCAGGAGAGATAGGAGGGAGGGGACAAGGCGCCGGCTTGATTATTTTCTGGTTTCAGGATCGCTGCAGCAACAAGTTATGGCAGTTAAACAGCGGGGTCACCCGCTTTCTGACCACAAACCGGTCATTGCTGATTTAGTGACAGAGGCCTTGGGGGAGAGGGAGAAAGGATTCTTCTGATTGAATTCACATAATTTGAAGGACCCAGGTTTGAAGGATTGGGTGCAGGACCATATGGAGGCTTGAGAATCAGCGAAGGACTTGTTCCCGTCCACAACGGACTAGCTGGACGGTGGGCTAACTACAATTTCAGGAATGATGAGTGTGTGCTCCCGCATCGTAGCCAGAGACAGGAACATGGAGGAGGAACAGTGCAGGATGTTAGTTGAAGAAGCAGAGAGAAAGATGGAACAACACCCCATCTCGAAACAGACGTGGGCGGTGGAGAGAGCAAAGAGGCTGGGGGAATGTGATAAGCTACAGGCAGCAAAACACGGGTGGTGGAAGGAGACGCTGAAGATTAAAGGGATTGTGGTACACGGCAAGTAAACAAAGGAGACCTTCCGTTGCCTGCTGCCTAGTGCAGCCCATCAGCAGGTGGTACAACTCAACCACCCCTTTGACCCAGGGGCAGCACCGGCCGCCGAACCTGCGGAGATGTTGGAGTATGCTCAACTTTATTACGCTGATATCTTGACGGCAAAAAGAATAGTGAACTCCCCTCTGACGGACCTCTCACAAGACAGTGACATGTGGCAGCAGACAGAAGTGATCTTGACACCTCAGGAAAGATTGAGTTTAAATAGGCCGGTCACATTGGAGGAATTGGCACAGACACTGAAAGTGATGGCAGCAGGCAAGGCACCCGAGAGGAATGGACTGACGGTGGAGTTTTCCCGTTGTTGTTGGGACACGTTGGGCCCGCCATTAGTGGAGGTGTATAATAGGGTATTGGTGGGAGAAAGTCTCGGCGCGGTGATGACACATGGGGTCATTGCTTTAATGTTCAAAAAGGGAGATAAGGCGATTGTGAGGAACTATCGCCCGATCTCCCTGTTGAACGTGGACTAAAAAATCCTGGCAAAAACGATGGAGCTAAGACTAGGGAGGATCCTACCCAGACTGGTAGAGCGGGACCAAGGGGCATTTGTACAAGGTCGATTTTTCTTAACATCCTCATGGCAATTGAATTAGTGGAAGTATTGAAGGGGGAGAACACAGATATGGCGGTGTTAATGCTTGATCTAGAGAAGGCATACGATAGGGTGGGTTCGTCATTTGTCCTAACAACGTTGAGAAGGATGGGATTTGGTGATGGCTTTTGCAGATGGGTGATAGCAATGTTTATGGCAGCCTTGTTCGCGGTTCAGGTTAATGGTCATCTCTCAAGGTCCTGTCAACTGACACGCTCATTACGGCAAGGTTGCCCGTT